CCAGAGAGGAGGAGGTCGAGGAGATCGGCCGGGCGCGGCTCTTTGCCTTCGCCTCTCTGCAGCTGGTCTGCCACACCGACACGCTCAAGGCCATCCAGACGACACGAGCCAAGCAGCAGAGAGACGGGAATGATGATGCCGACCAAGAGGCGAGTGGCCTGCTGGTGGCGCAGGTCAAGGGGCCCGACGCGGTGTTTCCCTCGGTGACGTCGGTTGAGGTGGACAGCCTCGACGGACTGCATCTCTTCCAGCAGCAGAAGCTCGTCTGCCCGGCCCTCGACCGGCTCACCGGCAAGGTCCTCTCTGAGGACGAGACAGACCACATCGCGTGCGACTGGGAGCGGTCCCCGTCCCTTGACGCCAAACGGGCATCCATGCGCAGTGCGTTTGATGGCAGTCTGGCGTTCGTGCTGGGCTCGTCCCCCGCCCTCAGCCACCTGGACATCTTCCCACTGCTGTGCTGCGGTGCCTACCGTCGGTGCCCCTGCGCGGTGCCCCTCACCACCGCTGTCCTCCCATCGCTCAAGAACCTGCGCCACGTGGGCCACCTCAAGCTGTGGGGCGGGAAAGTGGAGACCAGCAGGGTGGTGACGTTGCTGCGCCAGCTGACGCCAGGCAGCGGCGGCGCGGCGGGCTCCTCTCCGTCCCCCTCCCCGTCGAAGGCCGCCACGAAGCGCCAGCTGAAGATCCAATGTCCGTTGCTGATTCATGACCTGAACCATCAACCTGTCTGGCCCAATTACGTCACGCCCAATGACGCACTCAAGACGATTCGTGAGGCGGAGATGATGGGGTGGGAGGTGGTGAGGGAGGGAGGGACGACATCCATAGACTGCTGTGGTGAGACCACCGAGGGCCCGCCGACCGCCGAGACCCTCGAGCTGGTGGAGACCATCAAACGGCACGCGGCAGGGGGGGACAGTTTGACCTTGGAGGGTTGCTGTAGCTGGTCGGGCGATCCCACCAGCCCGCACTTCAGCGGCATCCGGTTCAACGGCGCCAGGCGCCTGGAGGTCGAGCTCGCCACCGCCCCCGATGTCGATGCCGAGTCCTTCAACAGCATCCCCCAGTGGCTGACCGATGATAGCACGCTCAAGTCACTGTGGTGAGAGAAAGAGAGAGAGAGAGAGAGAGGGAGAGGGAGGGAGAGGGAGGGAGGGAGGGAGAGAGTAATAAAGACGCTTCGCTTAATGTCTGTGGATGTGTCGATTCAGTAACGTGACCGAGCTGCACCTGACGGACAACGGCAACAAGCACACCGTGCCAACCTGCGACCCCGAGTACCTGATGCCGCCCAGCACGCCAAACCGCCTCTCCCGCCTCCTCTCATCCCTCCCCAAACTCACACACGTGTACTTCGACGATCGTCCGAAAATGACCGGGATCATGGCCTCAGACAGAGGCGCTCGCATACATTCAGCAGGGCATCGCCAAGCCGCTCAAGGTACCCACACGCACACACACATGGCACGGCCATATCCCTCCTCATGAACGAATCCTTTTCACTCTGGTGGCAGAAGTTGGAGGTTAAGTACGACGAGCCGCTCTTCTTCGTCTATCCCTACACCAAGGCGGCCGCCCCTGTCGCCTTCCCCTCACCCC